AGACCGTTGTCCCCGAGAGAGTAGTTCAGGACGGACTTGCCACTCCGAAGGGTCGCGTGGATGTCGCGATAGTCGGGGCAGTGGCGGTACTGAGTGCGAAACTCGTCGATCACCGAGTGGTGGACGGTGGTGACCGAGATGGAAGAGAGATGGATCTGCTCCTGGTCGTGGTCAGGGCGCCAGGATAGGGCATCTGCGACCCGATTAGTCCCACCCTTGATGTGCTCAGTGGTGAAACTAAACTCGGATAGGTCGCGCCACCAGCGAGCCTGTCGAGGAGTGAGCTTCGGCTTAGTCAGAAAAGCCTGGACAACAGAGTTGTCCGTGCGCACCGTGAATGGTGCCCCGTGCAGGTAGTGCCGCCAGTGCCGAGCGCCATAAACTACTGCGAGAACCTCACGTTCATCAGCAGTGTAGTTTATCTCGGCGGGCAGGAGCTGACGGGAGTAGAAGGCTATCGGACAATCACATAGGCAAGACTCAGCAGTGTCGTCCTCGGCGATGGTAGGAGAATAGTCAATAGAGGGCTCGTCAGTAGCTGGACGAGTAGGCGTCAATCGGGAAGCAGTGGTAGGGGTAGGTGGTGGAAAGCGAGGGATACGAGGATGAGAGGAATCAAGAGAGGAGGGGAAGACCTGAGAAAGCACTACTCCTACAGCAAAGTCTGACGCATCAGTGGTAAGGATAAAAGGGCGATCAAAATCGGGTAGGTGAAGAACCGGTGCGCATGTCACCGCCTTCTTGAGGGCGCGGAAGGCGTCCTCGTGGAGGGGTGTCCAAGCCCAGGGTGGGTTCTTCCGGAGGAGGGTGGARGTAAGGACGTAGGAATACCTAGCGTATCCCCGGATGAAGTTACTATAGTAGCTGGTCAGGCCTAGGGAGCTGCGAAGCTGCTTGGCGGATGTGGGGGCGGGCCACTCCGCAATAGCAGTGATCTTCGCGTCGTCCATGTGGAGACCCTGGTCAGACACGTAATGTCCTAAGAAATCCACTTTGTGCTGGGCAAAGCGGCACTTGCTCAGCTTGGCGTAGAAGCCATGTCTACGCAAGCGGTCAAGGACATCGCGGAGGTGTCTGAGGTGCTCCTCAAGGGTACGACTGTAGACCAGGATATCGTCGAGGTAGACGAGAACGTACTGCTCCAGGATGTCTCTGAAGATGTCGTTCATCGCCCTTTGGAAGGTAGCGGGTGCATTGGTGAGGCCGAATGGCATCACCGTAAACTCGTAGTGGCCGAAGCGCGATCGGAACGTTGTCTTCGGCTGTTCGGCTGCAGCGACGCGGATCTGAAGGTAACCGCTACGAAGATCAATCTTCGTAAAAAAGCGGTTGACTGCTAGGCGGTCGAACAGCTCGTCAGAACGAGGCATGGGGTAGCTATTCTTAACCGTGTAGCGGTTGAGACCGCGATAGTCGATGCAGAGACGGAGAGTTCCATCCGCTTTGCGAGCAAAGAGGACGGGTGCACCCCACGGGGAGTTGTTGGGTTTAATGAAACCCAGTCTCAGGAGCTCCTCAAGCTGACGCTTGAGTTCGGTGGCCTCGGGAATCGAGAGTCTGTAGGGTGCCTGGTGGTAAACACGATAGTCAGGTACAAGTTGAATGGAGTGCTGGACGTCACGCATCGGTGGGATGCCGGCGTACGAGAACGACGATGGGAAAACATCGTGGTACTCTCGGATGAGGTCACGAACTGCGGGCTCCAGGTCAACCGTATATCGTGCGAGTTCCTTAGCGTCAGCGTCAGCGCCCAACGGCGGGGTGGACTCGACGGACGGCGGAGGGACGGAAGTAGAGATGGGAGCCATGGAGATAGAGGGAGGATCTGGCTCCAGAGGGATGAGCTNAGAGATGGGAGCCATGGAGATAGAGGGAGGATCTGGCTCCAGAGGGATGAGCTCGGCGTCGGGACAGGGTGGATCATAGTGTAAGAGATCCGTCATGTCCACCATAAAGAAGGTGACGTCGTCCTGTCGAATGAAGTGAGCGAACTGCCGAGGCGAGGTGGCAGTGATAGAGGGGGGTGGTGTGGGCACTGAAGGCTCCGAGGGAGGAGGATCGGGGCATGGTATCGTCGTGGTACCTATGAAAGGTACGCGATACGTCTGTCCACACTTCGTTTTGAGAACGAGAGTGTTGGTCGCCCAATCGGCCTCGGTGCTGCGGAACCGACGAGACCACGGAGTGCCGAGAATGAAGTCGTACCCCGTCTCCATCACATCGAAATGTGCAGAGGAGCGGTAGCGACGAGACGCCGGGGAACGATCAGTCGGCTCAAGAGTGAGGAAGAAGGGGAGGTCGGTGACCGTCTGATCAAAGAAGCGCTGGGTCTTGTCATCCCCTAGGGTAACGGAGATGGGAGTTGGAGACCCTATCGTGGGTAAGCGGGCTTTCTTCACCACTCGTGGGTGAACGAAGTCGCCCTGAGAACCGGAATCCCACAGCGCTGAGTACACCCTCGTGGAGGTCCCGAGTCGTACTAGGATGATCGGGAGGGTGCGATCAGGGTCAGAGAGGATGGCGAGAAGGCGACGCAGTGCAACAACATGGAGGGTGAGTCGATGTTGACGAGCCTGGAGCATGCTCGAGTCCAGAAGAGAGGACACAACGTCCTCGCGAGTAGCAAGCTGCTCGCTGCAACGGGCTGAGCGAATGGCTCGACGCGTCGGTAGTCGCGGCGGGGAAGGAGGGGAGACGGTGGTCTGCGGAGGCGCAGACGGTATTGCGACAGACGGCTGAGTACACTCTGTCGAGTCCTGCGATACCTCAACTCCAGTAGCGAGAGGGGGAAACCGCGACGGAGATGTCGGGAAACCCACTACTGAGGAGGGCGCAGGTGTACACTGCACCGTGGCTAGGAGGCGCCGCGGGGACGTGAGGCGCTGGGGGGGGACTCAGCACGACGCTGACGAGAAAGATCAACGTAGTGGCGGTCAGGGCGGTAGTGTAAGGGCATCGCGAGGAGGTATGACCGTCCAAGCGACAGCGCAAACACCCACGTCGGCCCAGAATAGCCGTGCGCTCCTCAGCGGAAAGGACACCGCGAGGAGGGACGAAGCCCTGAGGGAGGTCCTCCTGAGGGACCTCGGGGGGCGACGCGCCAGCGTGACCGGGGCGGCTGCGTGCCCGAGAGAGGGCGGAGAGCGCGAGCTGAAGGCGCTCAGCTGCAGGGAGGGTCGAGTCCTCCAAGTGATAGTGGACGACCTCGCAGAGATCGAGGTCGTCGCTGTGGTCGCCCTCAGGTGACAGTGGGGCAATAGCGTCCTGCTCACCATACTCCAGCGCGCTGAAGCGGCGCGAGAAGTGGCGGCCCTGCTGCGTGGAACGGCGGTGGCGACCGCGGAAAAGGGAACGACGCTGGGAAGTGTCGTGAGAGGAGGAGGAGGCGTAACCCGTGCGCTGGGGCTGGGAGGAGGAGGCGGGGTGAAGACGGGCTCGCATCCGCTAGTGGTCCCTGGCGGCCTCGTAAGCCTGTGGGGCCGATGTGAACTCGTACCGCCATAGCTCGGAGCGGTACTCGAGCGGAAGGCTGGCCAAGAAACGATCGATAAGGGCAGCCTCGGGGAGGAACGCCACGTCGCAAACGAGGCGGGCGTCCTGAAAGACCTGGATGTGGCGATCCAGGCCGGCAGCGCCACCAGAGCCGGACCAGCGTGTAGTGACGACACGCTCGAAGGCGTCAGTCACGTCGTATCGGGCTTCAAACCGATCCTCGAGGAACGCCTGGAAATCCACGAAGGTCGGATTCCGACCCTCACGAAGGGAGTAGGCATGGAAATCCTCCCAGGCCTCGAAAGGACCGCCACGCAGGTGCGTGGAGAGGTGACCTACCCACGTCTCGGGTAAGGCGTCCATGAGCTGGAGTGTGCGGGTGGCAGACTGCCGCCACCGAGACACACGTATCCCTGTACCGTCATACAAGGCAATGTCCGATAAGCGGATGAGTGGTGCGCCACCGTTTTGGCGGCGAGGGGATCGAGGAGCGGAGGCCTGTGCCACGGCTAGGTAAGTCGGTGCAGGTCCTGGAGAAAGGGGCGCAACTGACTGTGCGCCCGGGCCGCATGGGGGAGCAGCGGTGGCAACAGCGGCAAGTTGCGAGGGTGCTGCGGTAGAAGAGGTCGCAGCAACCGCGAGAGTAGGAAGAAGGTAGGAAGGAGTCGTATATGGTGCAGGGCGCGGAAAGCGAGCCTGCATGGGAGGGAGGGTAGAGGAGGTAGGGGGTGCGTCCGAAGGCGCGGCCACCTGTGAGGGTGGGGGTGGCTGAAGGTGTAAGAGGGCGAGGTCGGCCCGGAGCTGGGCAATCTCGTCTGCGAGACCTCGAACGTAGTTCGATCGAGGGGTAGCAGGAGGAAGAGTGGAGGGGGTGGACGCACAAGCGGCGCGGGGCATCCCAGAGGGGGGAGAGCCAGGTGGCGCTGTGGTCGTGCGAAGGGGAGGGAGAAGCGGAGCACCCGGAAAAGCTGAGACCATGGTAGTGGGTTGTTGTACCGTAACCGTAGGGACCGGGATCTGGGCGGGTGCGCCCGTAGACTGAGGGGGGGCCTGGCTCGTGGCGGCCGTCGTGCTAGGGGCGTGGACAGTCACCAAGATGGCCGGGTCAGGGGCAACGGAGAAGGAGGCTCCGCCGTGGCCACCCTGTCGGAGGACAGGGGGCCCGGACTGGGAGCCAGGAGATGACGAACACGCAGCGTCCTGGAGTTGCTGCATGCCGGCGGCAAGGGTCGCCACCTGCGCCTGTAAGGGCGCGAGGGTCGCGAGTTGCGMCTGGATGGGCGCAAGGGTCGCGAGTTGCGCCTGGATGGGCGCAAGGAGGGAGGTGAGGAGGGTGTGTAGATCCCCCTGGGGCTGATGGCCCAGGTCCGCCGGCACGGGTGTGGAGCCCGATGCCGTGGTCATCGCCGTGTCGGCGGCGTGTGACGCACCATCGGCCATGGGGAGATGACGGACCGGACTGGAGGGGGCCAGAAGAGGTCCGCGTGAGCGGAGGGCGTAGGGGGAAGTCCACGSTAGAAAGCGGCGAACGGCGCTAGCAAGGCTAGCACGGGCGCCGTCAAAGGGGTAGGGGTGGTTCGGGTCCAGGGTGCCCGAAGAGGACGGGGAAGTAGGGGGGGGTTGAGGAACCCTAAACCCTACAAAACCCTAAGAAAACCCTAACCGAGGTTTAAGTGGCTAGGGTAGGGTACCGGTGACCTAATCAAGAAAGTAAACTAGCAAGCATGGGGGGGGGGGAACGGAAGAAAAATAAATAAACAGCGAGATTTCGAGAGAAAATAAAAATAAATAAATAAATAATAAAAATAATTAAAGAAATAATTAAAGAGATATGAAGGTAAACAATATTTATTTTTTTGAAATTTTCGGCAGCATTTCCCTACCCCCCACGGGGTCAAGAATGTGCCAAGGGAAAAGGAGAGACCAAGGTGAGCACACTAGGAATGACGCAAATAATATTAAAAAAAAAAAAAAAAAAAAATCAGAAAATAAATAAAGAAATAATGAATAAATAAATAAGTAAATAAGTGTGTGAGGAGGTGGGGAGAAATGGGTTATCTAATTTTTCAAAAATTTTGACAGCATTTCGTTACCCCCATGGGTCGAAGTGTGCCGAAAAGCCTAAGTAAGAGAAAATCAGAAAATTTCGGCAGCACTTCGTTACCCCCACGGGGTCAAAACGTGTGCCGAGAGCAAGAAATGCTAACACCTAATCAGATTTAGGGTTGCCGCCAAGAAATTCGAATTTTCAGAATAAATAAAAATAAATCAGAAAATAAGAAAAGAGGGTGGGGAAGAAGATGAGAAAACGAACAACAAATCAGTTTTAGGGTTGCCGTAGACAAAATCGAATTTTCAGAATAAATAGAAAAATAAATGAAATGTATCAGAAAATCAGAAAAGAGGGTAGGAAAGAAGAGATTTCGAATTTTTTGGAAAAGAGAAAAGATAAATCAAAAGAGAGGTGGAAAGAAGAAAAACAGAAAAATTTTCGAAGTAGGAGGGAAGGGGAATGAAAAGTGAGGGAGAAAAGAAAGAAATAGGTGGGGGGAGAGAAAAAGATGAAGTGGGAGGTAGGGGGGGATGGTGTGGTGGTAGTTGGGGGAGAGGAGGGATGGGGAAAGGTGGACAGGGATCAAGAGGCAAAGAGAAAAGGAGGAAGAAAAGAAAAGAAATAAAGAAAGGAGAGTAAAAGACTGGGTGTTGGGAGAAAGGTGGGGTGGGGAAGATAAAAGGAGGAGAGAAAAGATGCAGTAGAAGGTGGGGAAAAGAGAAGGGGTGAATAAGAGGAGAGAGGAGAAGTAGGGAGGGTGGGTTAGTAGAGGGAGAGGGGAGAAGGGAGTGATACCTGGCCCTTGGTGTCTCCAAGGGCACAAGGTAYACCAAGACCAGGAGGGTCGTGGCCTTGGCCCTTGCGCACACGCGCTCGTCGTAGCGCCTCCCTTTTTCGCCACGTGGCACCTGCAGCATGCGCCACTTTTCTCCTTCGTTTTCGCTGCGAAATACCCCCAAAACACCGAAAAAAACCGTTGTCGGGTTTTGCCGCTTTTCCGCCTGTGCGGGCTGCTGCCCAGCTGTACGGGGTGGTGGTAGGGACCGGGGACCGTTCCCGCTCCGATACCAATGTAGCGGACCCACCAGGTATGGTGCTCCGCTAGTGGTAGAGATGGAGATGGAGGAAGAAGGGGGAGCAAGATGACGCACAGCGCAGCTCCCATGCAGGACTCCAACGCACGTACTCCAGAAATGTGCAAGTGAAGAATGAGGGTGAAAACAGACAATGGCTGGGGTATACCCCAGCGGACTGACGGGACTGGACTGGACTGGCTGGTACCGACAGAGGGACCGGCCTGGACTGGCCTACCCCGAATACAAAACAGGCCTGTGAGAACAGGCCAAGGGGCTGGTCTCACAGGCCAACCCGAGGTCCGCTACATTGTGCCTGACTTACGGGGTTACCAAACCCCAAAGCTACCTTCTACCTTCATTTATCTGTGTGCTTGGGGCAATGATGCAATCTGTGAGGGATATATAAAGAAAGGGTGGGGGGGAAGGTACCTTGATTTGTCTCTAAGCACACAACCCACACACAAAGTTACAAAAAAAAAGGGGCGGGGAAACTACGTGGGAGTCACAAAAATCATGAAAAATGAGTTATAATTGCACTATGGGCCAAGATACAGTTTCGAATTGCAGTTCGGGCAATGTATACAACCCAGCTTTCTGGCCAGGTAGGGTGCCCGAAGTGCAATTGCAAACTGTATCTTGCCCCACAGTGCAATTATAACTCCTTTTGCTGACTCTACTAAAGTTACCCCCCAAAGAAAAGAAGGCTACCTTGAGCTGGAAGGCCATCTCTCTCTGGGATTCTCGCCCCCAGCCGATCTTGGTTGATCTTGAACTGCTGCCACAGCGGCTGCCTTGGCTGCCTCTGTCTCCATGGGCTGGACCCCACAGGCTCGCGGTTCTTTGCACCTGGAAAGCATCCGCCAGCACAAGTCGTAGGCGTCGGGAATGGGCAAGAGAAAAGGGACTCCACTGCCACAGCAGATTCCGGCTCGCGGTTCTTTGCGCCTGGAAAGCATCCGCCAGCACAAGTCGTAGGCGTCGGGAATGGGCAAGAGAAAAGGGACTCCACTGCCACAGCAGATTCCGGCACGTCCGCGGATTTAGGTTACCAGATCAGGAAGACTTGCCCTTTCGGCCAAGTGTGCCTCC